AAAATAAACCCTTAAGCTAAAATCCCATCTCCCAGCCCTTACTACTCAACTGTAAAGTCAATGAGCTCATATGCAAGCGTGCATTTTGGGTGTGTGTGTGTGTGTGTGTGTGTGTGTGTGTGTGTGTGTGTGTGTGTGTGTTTCCATTTGGTTTTCTGAGACAGAATCTCCTGTAGTCCAGGCTGGCCTCGAACTCATTATGTAGCAGAGGCTATCTTTGAAACTCTGATCCTCCTTCCTCCATTTCCCAAGTGCTGGGATCACAGGTGTCTTTTAGAATAGCTTTTCTCCGGTGCTTTTTAAAAACACTATTAAGGAAAGAAAATTTTAATTGCTAGACATGGTGGCTCATGCCTGTGATCTTATCACTAGGTGGGACATGGGAACCACAGTAAGTTCAAGGACAGCCTGGAATACATAGTAAAATCAAGACAGCCAGGGTTATAGAGTGATGGGGGACACGGGGTAATGTCACTGATTAAAAACAAGAAAAATGTCATTACCTTGGTAATTTTGTGGAAGTAGGGATGAATTATTTTTCCTGGTTTGTGACAAAGGGAGAGATTAATTACAAAATGATTAAACAATGGGTAGTAAACAGCCCCTTTGATCGTATAACCTAATCCATGGTACCAGAGTCAACAGAAAACCAAAACAAATAGAACCACCAACACCTGCCACCATCACCCCTTCCCTGGGACTGGCTAAAAGGGAATTCAGGAAAATGGAATCTACATTAAAACTCCTTTTACCTGTGTGGTGAGGTACCATTCCTAGATGGTTTCCTGTCATACAAGTTAAAATCTTTTACAGTAAGTTTTTTCCACTTTCCCAAGATCAAAGGACTCTTGCTGATACTTTAATCCAGATGGGCTAAGAAATCCGGCTGGAATCTCCCTGCTTCCCCAAACACAAGGACCTCACAATAGTCACCAAAAACCCTGGACAGGGTCCCTAGATTTAAAGTCCTCAAATTGGTAAAAGGATGATGGAAACATCATTTTTCTTAAATGTCTTGAACTGGTGGACGGCATCTTTCCTACCTCCACCTCCTCACCGTCTAAGCCTTAAATTCTAAGGGATGCCGCTCATTAATTATCCTGGCACGTCTCTGCAGGGCCTCCCTTCTCAATGGCTTGATGCTGAATGTGCACTGACAATCAGGATCACAGAAAATCCCGTCAGCAGTGTCTGATTCACCAAGGTTGATTAATGCGCCTTATACTGAGCCTGCTAGGCTGTACACTGCAAAGGATTTTTAAAGAGAACTATGCTATTAAGAAATGTGTGTGCAGACTGGAGAGATGGCTTAGTGGTTAAGAACACTGGCTATTTTTCCAGAGGACCTGGGTTCAATTCCCAGCAACCACGTGGCAGCTCACAACTGTCTTTAACTCCAATTCCAGGGGATCTGATACCTTCACACCAATGCACATAAAATAAAATAAAATAAAATAATTTTAAAAAATGTGTGTACTGGAAGGAGATCCCCTCCCCTGAGCAAAAACCAGTACTTTGTGATGTGGGGGGGGGCAGGGAGAACCCTACTTAAAGTATTCCAATTTAACCAGTAGTAATATGGAGTTATAGTCAGAACAGAAGCCTGAAGATATAAACACCACATCTATTTTAATCAATGCACCAGGAAGTCAAGGAAACTGACTTAAGGAGGTTATCCGGGAAGTCACTTCCCTTTCAACACATATTTCTCCAGAGCTTGCCAGGCCAAGACCTTGCATAGGTCATCATTCAGTCTTAGCTGAAATATATATAGCACTTTAGAAGTGATGAGCTGGCCTTATGGCCTGACTTTCTGTATTGCTCAAGATTTTTAAGAACAAATAGTAAAATAGCACATCAAACCACCAAGTAGGAGAGGCATGTTCAACTGTCACGCTGAACTCAAGATGGGGAGAAAGAGACCTGAGTGAGAAAGCTGTCCTGTGGAAGAGTTGTGGTTTGTGTTTTTCACTATTGACGGACAGAGTTTTGACACATTCACAAAAGTAAGACAGTATAATGAAGCCTGTGTATTAGTTACTCAGTATAAACTGTTAGATTTTGGCAATTTCATCTATACAGGAATTGGGTTGGGGGGACTGGGTGTAAAATGTACATGCATGCATTTAAAGGCTTTTGCAGAACTGTGATCTTGTTTATTGAGAGAAATGCATGTCTTCATATCTGAAGCCCTTAGCAAAATGTCAGTGTATTAGTCAGGATTCTCTAGAGTAGTAGAACTTACAGAATGCATCTCTCTCTCTCTCTCTCTCTCTCTCTATATATATATATATATATATATATATATATATATGGGATTTATTAGAATGACTTACAGACTGCAGTCCAGCTAATCCAAAAATGACTGCTGATTCCTTCTTCCATGTCCTTATATAGGCTACCAGCAGAATGTGTGGCCCAAAGTAGAAGTGGGCTTTCCTAGCTCAAAAGATCTGGATTAAAGTTGTGTCTTCCTACCTTAAAGATACAAATTAGAAGTAGATCTTCCCACTGCAAATTAAACAAAATCCCTCATTGGTATGCCCTTCATTTGGGAGTTTTAGTTAGATGTAGTCAAGTTGACAACCAAGAATTACCATCACATCTAGGTACAAAATAAGCTCTCAAAAATGCCAACAGCTCCTTTTACTGTTATTAGACATAGAAATGCATTTACTATGTAAAGAGAAGGGTGTTTTCAAGGCTCAACTCTCACTGTTCTTCTTTCCTTACCTGCACTTGTAACATCTTTAAATGATCCATTCTTTAAATGGGATGTTTGTATTTTTCCTATAACAAGCCATTACAATCCTTTTCCTTTTTTTTTTTTTTTTTTTTTTTGGTTTTTCGTGACAGGGTTTCTCTGTGGCTTTGGAGGCTTTGTTAGTAGCTCTTGTAGATCAGGCTGGTCTCGAACTCACAGAGATCCACCTGCCTCTGCCTCCCGAGTGCAGAGTTTAAAGGAGTGGGCCACCAAAGCCCGGCTCCTTTTCCCTTTTTATATGGCAATGTCAAAGTTATTATATTATTCATGAGCAAATATACATTTCACATTATAAATATGGAGAAAAGACAGGATTCATACTATTTTGCTTTTGTGAATGAGTGAAAACTCCATTGATGAACAGTGAAAAACAAAACAAGTTTCCCACACCAATATGATGATGGTTGTCTTATATGGGTGACAGAAACCAAATTCGTGTCTGCTAAAAGAACGGGAAGTGTTATTAGCTAACTGATGAACCACCTCTCCAACACTCATTTTTTTTATTTTAATTTTATTTCTTGTTAGTCTCTTTCTCTCCCTCCCTCCCTCCCTCTCTCCACTCCCCCTGCCCCCGTGTGTGTGTGTGTGTGTGTGTGTGTGTGTTGTGTGTGTGTGTGTCTGTGTCTGTCTGTCTGTCTGTCTTTCTGTCTGTGTGTGTGTGTCTGTGTTTCTGTGTGTGTGTTCAGTCTTGTGTTGATGTTCACCACACCACAATGTACATGTAGAAGTCAGAGAACAACTTTCAGAAGTCTATTCCCACTTTCCATAGTGGGAGCTACTGATTGAACTTGGGTCCTTAGAGAGAGTCTCACTGTGTAGCTCTGGACAGCCTGGAATTCCCTCTGTAGATTTGACTGGCCTCAAACTTAGAGAGATCCACTTGCCCCAAAAGAGATGGAACTAAAGGCTTGTGCCCCAGTGCATGGCCGTCTAGCTTCATTTTTGTGTATGAAGTAGTGTATCCTGTGACTGCTGGATCATGGCAAAGTAGTAGGTATTGCTGAAAGTAAGTTCATCAACTAAACTCCCAGCTTTTCTTAAACCCAGATATACTTCTCACGAGATTATAGTGTTTAAAAGGCAAAAAAAAAAAAAAAATGCTAATAAAAGTGGAGTTTCCCACTCTCCCACCACACCCTTTCTCCTCCTCTGAAGTATTTTACAGGCAACAAAGAAGAACACAGCCCCTTTTCCTCTAAAGGCTTCAGAACTCCCCTCTGGGCTCCTTTTCCAAAAATACCTCCCACTGTTGGCTAGCCAAGATGTCTTAGGGAGGTTCATTATTCTGAATATGACATAATATTGAAACTTTGAGACTATATGGTTACATCATGAAATACACTTATTTCCATTTTGGAATATACTGTCAATTTTCTACTACCTTCATAATTACAGATATTAGAGAAAAACTGAAATAGATGTTGAAAGAAAGTGAGCAAAGTGGTAAAACAGAATGGAAATCTAAAGCTTTGAAAAACTGAGGGAAGGAATTTATAACACAGGGAAACTTTCTCTGTTTCCTTAGTATTTGGAATTCTAGTAGGGTGCATGCACTCTTTATTACCAACAGAGGGTTTGCTTTGTTTTCTTTCTTTTTTTTTTTTTTTTTTTGTTTTTTCGTTACAGGGTTTTTTTGTGTTGTTTTTTATCTCT